TAAATATAATATATAAAACTTATATGTAAAAATATTTTTATTTTTTTAACAATGCAACAATCTATTTCAAAAGAAAAAAAAAAAAAAAACCGATGTGGCCCGGCCATTTAATGTGGTATTAAGTCATTAACCACTTCCATGTTTCTCCTTGCCGCAGTTTTTGTTGCAGTACCGTACCGTTGGGTAGAGATTTTTGCAGAATTTATTGAATCATAAAATTATTGCTATTTTTATAAATCAAAATTGTAAGTTTAAAAGCAAACTTAGTGTTGCACCTTATCTAGAGACCCACTGGTATTAGTTAGTCAATCGATGTATTTTTTTTTTAATCTGTTCTTTGTTAAAATGTTAAAAAAAAAAAAGAAAAAAAAAAGAAGCAAACTTAGTGTTATTTTTGCTGTCGGAATTACGCAAACCTTAAAAACAAAAAACCATTGATGGAGGGTAAGTCCCCAAAATCAAGAAGCATCAATGGTTAACTGTAAATTTTCTCAAAAGCATATGTGTTTTTATAAAAGCCACAAATTTGGTGCTTCTAGACGCTAGGAACAACATAAGAAAAATTAGAAGTACTTTTGAAAAAATTATTTGATTCATGTCTCATTTTTGCATGTCTCGTTTTTGCAGTATGTATTTTTTTGTTTTAATTTATGCTACTCAATGAGAAATAATTTTTTTTATTTTTTAATTTATTTTATTTATATGTTATATAATTTAAATTTAAAACATCGTACTTTTATTGCAAAAAAATTACTATATAACAATATAGATTGCTAGTGACAATATTTGTTTATTGTTTTTAGGTTAAAATCCCATTTTGGTCTCTAAATTATTGTACTCTTAATTTAGTTCCTAAACTTAAAAAATTCTTAATTTGATCCCTACTATTTACCATTTTTACCCTCATTTGGTTCTTCCGTTAAGTTTTCACGTTAATTGACAGACAAAGACAACAGAAACATTATGTGTCACACAAAAATTGATAAGTTGGCAAAAATAGATGACATGGCATTCCAACTCATCCCACGCAAAAAAAAAAAAAATTTCATTCCTCTCTTTCTTCTTCCCTTTCTTCAACTTCTGCAAATCCTAACATGTCAATCAACCTCTAACATCTCAACCAATCTATTCATCTCAAGCAATTTATACCATTGCTGGTTCTTCATAATCATTGTCAAACAACAGAACCCACAAAAAAACAGAATTTTTTGCCCTTGGATTCTTTCGAACCTAGCAGCACCCTTTCTTTCTCCTTGCTCTTCCTTGCCTTGCCTTCTTCATTAATCAATTCTTCATCTTCATCAATCATCAAGCAACAAAACCCGTAAAAACAAAAAGATTTTTTTTTTTTTTTTGCCCCTGGATTCGATGGAACCTAGCGCTTAGGTTTCTTGGAACCCAGCACCTACGTTCCATCGAACCCAGCAACTAGGTTCAAAGAAACCTAGTAGCACCCTTTCTTTCTCCTTCCTCTTCCTTGCCTTGCCTTCTTCATCAATCATCAAACAACAAAACCCAAAAAAAAAAAAAAAACATAATTCTTTTTTATTTTTGCCCCTGGGTTCCATCGAACACAGGACCTGCATTCGATGGAACCCTGGGCTGGGTCCCAAGGAACCCAAGATCTCGATTTGATGGAACCCGATGCTTGGGTTCCATTGAACCCAACATCCGGGTTCAAAGGGCACTGGGTTCCACCAAACCTAGGTGTGTTGGGTTTCTTGCAACCTAGCACACTTGGGTTCCAAGGGGAAAGAGAAGGGGAAGGGGAAAAGGAAAGGGAAAGAGAAGGAAAAAGAAAAAAAAAATTTTAAGTTTTATTTTTCATAATAATATTATGTTATATTATTATTTTTTCCATGTCATTACTTTTTTGTTACATTGTCTTCCACGTGTATTAATGTCTAATATATCATCTTATAACAGTAAAGTAACATGCCACGTCATTAGATTTTTAATGAAAGACCAAATCGAGGTAAAAATGGTAAAGAATAAAGATCAAATCAAAGATTTTTAAGTTTAAGGACCAAATTGACAGTCCATATAATGATTTAGGGACCAAAATAAAAATTTAACCTTGTTTTTAACAAGTTACCTGCTCTATTAGTGTTGGAATTTAAAAATAATATCTTTTAATAATAAAAAAAAAAACAAAAACAAAAACAAAAACAAGAACAAACAAACATGTGGAAACTATACTAATGCACTAGATTCCAATTACCCCATCTCTGATCTAAAATTCTTTGATTTTCTTTTGCTCTTAATTTAGAAAGGAAAAAATGGAAAAAGGATAGAACACTTCGTCAGACGAACATTTCTTTTTAAAATACAGCATCTTAAGTTCTTAACAGTGATGCTTGTGCAGTCGTCCTTTAATTATTAGGTTCTCCTTTTACCTTTCCCACTGCAAAAAGAAAAATAATAATAAAGTTGTGCATTTTGTGTCTTTGCTAATGGAGTTGTAAAGTTCAAAAGATGAAGTCATTTCAACTTCGACATTTTTCTGAGTGTGAGGTAAACTTTTTCAATCCCTTCTCTTCATTGCATTATTGGGTTGTGGTCACAATCATAGTTCATCTCTATTACAACTTGCAACAAATCATGTTTCATTCTTTGTCGGTGTTTCTCTGTTTCTCTAACAGGTCCTGCTGTTCTTATCTCTGGTCTGAAACTCAAAACAAATGTTGGAACAGAAATAGAAAGAAGGACTTCTCCATGGGGAATTGTAGTTTAGTATTGCTGTTATGTCTTACATGGAGTCTCTTCAATTTGGGTACCTCTCAGTTGCCGTCTTTTCAAGCACAAGTGCTTCTTCAGCTAAAGAGACATTTGGAGCACCCAAAACAGCTTGAAATGTGGTATGACCATGGAACTGATTTCTGCTCTTTGCTTCCTTCTGCGCGAGTGAACATCACATGCCAGTTTAATAGTGTCACTGAGCTCACAATAATGGGGGATAAGCCATCCAATAAGGTCAGTACTTTTGAGGGTTTTGCAATTCCAAACAAGACTTTATCAGAAAACTTCTCCATAGACTCTTTTGTTACAACTCTGTCAAGGTTATCAAGCTTGAGAGTTCTTTCTTTGGTGTCTTTGGGCATTTGGGGTCCTCTCCCTGATAAAATCCATCGATTGACTTCACTTGAATATCTGGATTTGAGTTCCAATTTTCTCTTTGGCGCAATCCCTCCTAAGTTTTCTACAATGGTGAAGCTTCAAAGCCTTATTTTGGAAAATAATTTCTTTAATGGGAGAGAAACCAGTTGGATAGGTTCTTTATCTAGTCTGAGTACCTTGAGCTTGAAGAACAACCAATTGAATGGTCCATTTCCTTCTTCAACATGCAGTATTACCACACTCACTGTTCTTGTTTTGTCCGGAAATGGGATATCCGGGAAACTGCCTGATTTCAGTAGCTTAATCAATCTTCAGGTGCTGGATTTGAGTGAGAACAAACTAGATTCTAATCTGCCAAAATTGCCTAAAAGGTTGGTTATGGCTTTCCTTAGTAACAACTCCTTCTCAGGGGAGATTCCAAGCCAATACAGTGGGCTAAATCAGCTTCAACACATTGATCTGTCATTCAACAAGCTTAGTGGAGCAGCTCCTGCTGACCTTTTCTCATTGTCAAAAATCAGTTCCTTGAATTTGGCATCAAATATGCTCACTGGGTCACTTCCACACAATCTAAGTTGTAGTAGCAACCTCGAGTTCATTGACATATCAAATAACAGGTTAACAGGAGGGTTGCCTTCCTGTTTAGGTGAAAAATCAGATACAAGAACCGTTAAATTCAATGGAAATTGTTTATCTGTTGATCGACATAGTCAGCACGCAGAGTCATATTGCATAGAAGACATCGATGTGGAGAGGAGAGAATCTGGAGAAGAAGGCATAGGAATTTTAATTGGTATCACTGTAGGAGTGGCTGTAGTTTTTGTGCTTCTGGTTCTTGGCTTTCTGACTGCATGTAGAAGATGCTGCTCTCGTGGAACATCGGAGCAGCATTTGCTGCATAAAGCAGTTCAGGATAGCTCAACCACAGGGTTCTCTTGTGAGCTCCCAAACAATGAAAGTAGGTCAGCTATTAATTAGAAGATGCAGCCTAATTTTGTTCATTTCAGTAGGCTAATTTCCGCTGCTTTTTGGCTGTTCTTCAGGGTTTATATCCGAAGCTTCAAAGTTGGAATCACAATGTCTTCCAGCATGCAGGTCATTCACTATGGAAGAGCTGAAGGAAGCTACAAACAATTTCAACAACTCTGCTGTTCTTGGTGAAGGTTCATATGGGAAGGTACTGCAGGGTTGCTACGTATACTTTTTACTTCTGTTTTCATCAGTAAGTTCCATTTTTCTTATTAGATTTTAATTCTGTTGTACATTTAGCTTTACCATGGACGACTGGAGAATGGAATGCCGGTTGCTATAAGGTGCCTACCTTCCTCAAAGAGATATTCAATTCGAAATCTCAGGCTGAGGCTGGATATGCTTGCAAAGATACGGCATCCCAATCTGGTTGGCGTCATTGGGCATTGCATTGATGGAGGTAGACAAGATGATTACAGCGTGAACCAAGTCTTCCTTGTTTACGAATACCTGCCCAACGGAAACTTGCGTTCTCATCTCTCAGGTAATCTTGAAACTCTAGATAAACAAACCTTCTGAACATGATACTATTGTATTAATCATAATTGGTTTGGCCATGATTTTATAGACAATGGTTCCGGAGTGACTCTTAATTGGTCAGAAAGACTAGGTGTTTTGATTGGAGTAGCAAAGGCTGTGCTTTTTCTCCACACTGGGGTTATTCCTGGTTTCTTCAACAACCGGTTGAAGACAAATAATATTCTGCTGAATGAGCGTGGAACGGCCAAGCTCAGTGATTATGGGCTGTCCATTATCTCTGAACAGAGTGGCAGCAGTGGGGTAGGACTAGAGAGTCGTCCTTATCATATCCAGTCAAATTATTCAGCTTGGAAATTAATGCGTTTGCTTCGAGTTAGTTGTAACTAACTAATGTTCTTGGTCTGCAGGGAAATGAAGACCTTAAATCATGGTAAGGATCTTCACTTTCCCTTCTGTTCAAGGTGCTGACTTCCTTTGGCTAAGGAGACCTTAAGTAACCTACTTTTTTAAAGTTGAGATTGGTTCAAAATTTTCTCAGAACTATAATGTTTGCATCAAATATAGCCGAGTTCAAGTTGAATCAAAACTCAAGTTGCAAATTTCTAGCTCCTACTTACCATTATTGGGTTGGGATTTTTTGAAAACCCTAGCTGATATTCCTGTTTAACATGTTCTTCTCAGGCAAATGCAAAGATTAGATGATGATGTTTATAGCTTTGGTCTCATCTTGCTGGAATCCCTTGTTGGGTCTTCAATAGTTGCTAAAAAGGAGGGATTTCTGCAAGAAGCACTGGTCAGTTGTGGAATCCAAAAGCTTTTGAGACCCAATCACCTTCTCAGATTGACTTATTATGCACTGCATTCCACAGGTATCATTAAACAACCAAGATGGGCGAGGAAAGGCAATTAGTCCAATTGTCATGGCAACTAGCTCACAAGAGTCATTATCAATCATAATTTCGATCACATGTAAATGCATTAGTTTCGAATCATGGAGTCGTCCGTCTTTTGAGGACATCCTCTGGAATTTACAACAAGCAGCTCAAGTGCAGGCAATTCCAGATGGTCAAAAAAACCTAGCCACTACAAGAAATTTCAAGTAGCTCCATCTTTAATTGTCAGTATCAGAATGTTTAATTATTGTGTTTTTCTTTGTCCAGTGACACGTACACTAACCAGAAATTAATAGAAGTAAGAAGTTTTTAGTTCATGCAAGAGAGTTTGATGCATTAAGGGAGTGAGAGGAGAAAGTCTCTTCAAGAGTCACCTACTAGAATGCATAAAAAACTATAACAGACTTCATCTAAATTACTTATAGCTAGAGTAAGAAGACTGTGGAAGCTTTAACAAGCCTATATTTCCAATACATATTTGCTATTGATTTTTCAACTATTATATACTGAGAATTTGTATTTACAACGGAGGACAAACCTGAAATTTTAGCAGGCAATAGAACTTTAGGGGAAACTCAGGCCTGCAGTCAATTTCATCAAAGGATGTGTGGCATGTATGTGTTGTAGATGCAATGCAGTTAATAGCCCCTGCCATGTCTCCACTGGTGCAATGCTAACTTGAAAGTCAAGAAGCTTTTTCTGTTTCCTGTAATAATCTTCTAATTGCTTACCCTGAGAAAGGAGAAAATGATAATTGGTGAGGAAGTCATGCCTTTCGCTCATGTTGAATAAATCCAAGAAGAAATATATTTCATTTCAATAACCTTAAAGAATCAATATGCAGAAAATTTGTGGGAAACAAAATATCACAGGCGTTCATCTGAATATAAAACAATTAGGTTTCAGAAACCATTACCTTGAATTACCATGTAACACTGAAAAGATGATTAAGATGAATATTCAAAAGATGAAATAATTGTTTAACTTGGAATCTTAATTTGATCATAATTCCAAACAATGTTACTTTTAGTATCTCACCCAAGTCTAATTGTTTACCTTGGAAACTTAATTTGACCATAATTCCAAAAAACGTCACTTTTAGTATCTCATCCAAGCTAAACTATGCTTTGTAGTTATATACCTGATGCATTGAAGCAAACCAGTCTGCCTACTGTTTCTCATACAGGTTTTTAGGATGTTAGCTACATTGAAAATTTATTCACATGCAGAATAACAGTCAGGTTCTGGGAAAGGAGGATATCTAGAATCTGGAATCAAAAGGGAAGATAAATCCTCTCTAGATCCTAATAAATAGAGATACTGGCATGACCTCAATAACTTCAACAACTATTTGGTGAAACTAAATATTCAGGAGGCAAAATTATGAGAAGCAATGCATATTTGTGATGAAATATCACAAACCATTGATGACTAGGGTCTGTCATTTTCATTAAAACAGCCACTCATATTATTGGGAAGATGACAAAGGCCTTAAGTTATTAGGAAAAGAAAAGAATAGAATAGTGCAGAAGATAAAAGATAAACTCAGCTTGCCTACAAACAAAGACAAATCAGTTTTTTCATACAGAAGCCAAATAAGTATTGGAGTTTTGACAGTGCAAATAAAGAAAAAATAATCCAGAGAAAGAAAGCAATAATAGCACAAGTTGTAAACAGAAACACAAACCAAAAATAAGTAGAAGGTTGGAGATATAAAGATAACAGAGTACCTGTTCCTTATAGTCTTGGAGTCTTTCTTTCCATGAAGCTTCTGAAATGCAATGAAAGATTAAGGCCTGATATTGAGGGCATACCAGCACAAGGTTCTTGATAAAAGGGTATAAGATATAACTACCTCCTTGAGCTTTCACTATTGTATCTTCCGTGCATTTGAAATTTACAACCAGATCAATCTCAGCAAGTTGGTCCAGGATCTCCTGAGGAAAACATAAAGCAGGCCAAAAGGCAGAAAATAAAAGAAATGAGGAGATATAATACACGTCTCGCTTGATTACCAAGTTAGTCAACATAATCATTTTTTTTTTTACTTACAGCCTGGATCCGAGATCGAGGAATACCATCAAGAATAAAGCCAGTTTCACCTCTACAATATCCATCTTCCAACCTCTTTGACACAAGTCCAAATATTATATTCTCCCCAACAAGTTCACCATGATTTACTGCTTTGGCAATCTACAATAACAAAGGAAAATAAGAAAAGGGAAACTAGCATTACCATAATTTCAATTCCATTCTGTATAAATAACAACAACAGAATGTGACATTTGAATTCACCTCAGGAAATTCGTAATCTCAAAAATCTACAGACTGCATTTCTATGCAATTTTCTCAAGAGGAAAAAAATTAAACTGATTATCAGCAGATTTTGTTATTTTCTGGCGCACATTGTAAATATGGATAATACAGTAAACAAATAATCCGAAATTGTTAGGGCCATCTTAGATTTTAGGATCTAACAAAGATAAATTTGTGCGAAAAAAGACAGAAAAAGAAAAGAAGCAAAGAACTGGAAAACCTCTCTGTATATAGCTGAGCGAGGGTTGAGCTCTTGACGAACAAGACTCGCCATTGAAATATGCGGAACTTCTAGTAGTTTGGAAAGCATATCGGCAAAAACGTGCTTCTTGGCGCGGGGGCTTCCGATAAACGCCCACTGCACTCCTCTTAACGGGACGGCACCTTCCGTGTCGGCTACTGGACTCGAGCGAATAAGCTGATTGCGGCATGGCTCCGACTCAGATCGGTAGCTGCAGTAGTTGTCGAGGTCCAGTTGCGGCTGCGGCTGCGCTGCCCCGTGGAATCGACTGAGTTGAAGAAGACGGTATACTGGAGGCGTCGCCACTACGGCGACGGCGGCGGTGGCGGTGGCGCTTAGGCGACTTATTGTACTGATCATGGCATAAGACAACACAGACAGAAAGCAAGAGTGTCACTTGGGGCAGTCCGAAGGGAGGGTAGCTTGTGTGGGTCAGGCAGTTGTATTTGTATGCAGGGATTTTCTTGGCACTTTAAAATTTCCATTTTTTAATTTACTAATTAAATTAAAAAGAAAAAAAAGGAAATATCAGTATATTTGGACATTTAAAATGGTAAGAAATCTAATTATACCTATTAAATATATGAAATATAATATGAATTTTAATTTTATTTTTTAGTTTTTGTTAACAATTTTGAATTTTAAATATTAATATATTTTAATTTTTTTGAAAAAAAATCAAAATGTCTTAATATTAAAGATATCAGGATGTTTAATAATAGTTATATGATGAATTTAATAAAATTAAAACATTCATTATGCCACACATATTTAATAATTATGATTAGATATTGTTATATTTTTAATGTCAATACGTGTTAATTTTTCTTATTTTTAATTTTTTTAAAATAAAAAATAGAAAGCAATACATGAAACTAACATTTTAAATATTAGTATTATTGTAAAACTATTTTAAAATTTTAAAATTTTTTTTATTAATTTATTAAGAAATATTTAAAGCTTTTTATTATTATTTTTAATATTTTAATTATTAAAAAGTTTCCAATTACTTA